TTATCATTATTATTACTAAACATCACTATTATCATCATTTTTATTACTATCATTATCATTTTATAATAATTATTATCAATTATTGTTATAGTTCTTATTTATCATCATTAACATTACTCTTATTATTATTATCACTATTGTTTTTATTATTATTTCATTATTGCTATTATTATCATCACTGTTAGCATTATTATTTGTATTATCATTGCCATCATTATATTTATCATTATCATTATCATCATTACATCATTTTAGATATTATAATTTTATCAATCTATTATCTTTATCATCTTTATCGTGGTCATTACAATTATATATATATATATATATATATATATATATATATATATATATATATATATATATATATATATATATATATATATATATATATATATATATATATATATATATATATATATATATATATATATATATATATATTTTTTTTTTTTTTTTTTTGTGATCAATCTGCTTATCAATACTAATATTAATCTTATTCTTATTATCATTAATAGTATTATAATTCTTTTTACTACCATTAATATTATTATTACCATTATTATAATCTTTATTATCATTGTTATGATCAATATCATTATCTTTATCACAAGTACGGTTATCATCATAATCATTATTATTACTACTTCTATTATTATTATTGACCATTTTTTTATTATTATCATTATTAGTATAACTTTCATTATTATCGTCATTTCTCTTATCACTCATCATTGCTATTATTACACCAAAATTTCAACCTGAAATTAGTCATATCATAAGTAAAAAAAAAAAAAAAAAAAAAATCTAATCATAATAAAAAATAATAAACGCAATTCATTCATTTCCTGAAATCATTTTTGGTATAAATCCATTTACTATTACCGATTAATTAACAGATTGTGATAGAATACTGGATTTCATCAAAAACTCATTAAAACAAATGTTAATAACATCTTCGTTAATATAATATTGTTAATATACCTTGACATAATTTCAATCTTAATAATGATCTATGTATTTAATCTTAATATACTTTATAGGAAATAATTTCTAATTTTCATATTAATCACATCATTTATTGATTTTCCTAATTTGACTTTACTTCTAATTAAAAGACGAATAACTCACTTCGTTGACTCCTCCAAAAGCCCAGAGTACAATAATGACCAAAAATTTCCATAACATTATTAACTGAAGTAAACCATATCAGTATAAGTTCCTCACATACAAATTCTAATCCATCGCTATTTTTTCCTAAACTGGATAAATTAACTGCGTCTCATCCGGTAAATGCTTGTCTTATACATATATTCATGTTTAATTATTGTAATTACCAAAGGAAGATTGCGTGCCATGCTTAGCTTCCTCATTTGGTATTCCATGCGCAAAAGGTAATCAAAGAGAAGACTGAGTCGAGCCTTTCCTCTGCACAGCCCTTTGTCATCTCCACGAGGAACAGCGCGGCTGCAACAAAATATTATGCAAAATAACAGAAAAGTGCGCAAGGCACTACGGCAATTTCACATACTAATTGCAAATCACATTTGTAAATTCTAAAATACATTTTTTTTTTTTTACAAGGGCAGTTGTACACGTATAATTCATATCACCAAAATAAAAATCAAATAGAAACAAGTTGCTTCGACAATATCTTTGCACAATGATACTCCGCCCCAACATCGAAAATGGAAACAAATATTTTATCGCACAGAAATAATCTAAATTTGCACAGAAATAAGAAATAGATATTACATTATTACAAAAGGATATATTGTATCAAGATAAGATCTTCAGCTGGTTGCAATACTACTGATCTAAGTGCAAATCTCATCAAAATCTCGCCTTCTCCATCACAATTCTTTTCAGTTTTGATTAGATCATGCCCTAGCCTTACCTCTCATAAAATCTCATCACGTCTAGAATTTGCCTCTATTACTTGTGCCAATTTCAATACTATAACCTTCAGCAAGATCTAGTGTCCTTCCAGCTGAAAATGACCCCAAAGGCTTTGCCATGGCTGCTTTTAATTGCCCAATCAGAAAGGGACCAAGATCTACTGCTGTGTCGTAGAATTGAAGAACTGGCTTAAATCGCTCCGAAATAACTTAACCCATGCACTGATTTTGTTTGTTTTGTTAATTTCCTACATTTGACACATCTACTCTTGAGCGATTTAATAAGTCTCCGTGTACCAGGAACTCAAAATTTAGTTTGCAATTTAGCTAGAGTAGTTTCAACACCAGCATGTTACATGTTTTGTAAGAGTATATAATTTCGTTATAGGATGATAAGCTGGTAAGAATATACGATTCTCTTGTTCCATTTATCTTTCCCTTTGAAATCCTTTGGCCGACTACAATTATTCTATTACAAATTGTTGACTAATATTTTAATTCTTACATACCAATCAGGCATATTCTTTTGTATCTCTCTTACCCTATATAATTCTATTATCTTTAATACAAGTGTTGTGGGGTTCCCATACAACGCCTTTTAGGATTTTTACCAAATTTGCCTTCACTCTACAAAAGACTCAATCATTTGAAACAGTGATTAACATTTCTGGCAATGATTACACTCGTATTTAGTTTTGTCTTCCTTTGCAAGATTTGTAGCACCACCAGTTTTTTTTTTCTGACAA